ACATCGTCTGGTCTTCGTTACATCAAAAGACGTCGGGCGAGACAACTCGCAAGACATTGGAATAAAGAAGATTCCCTGGCCACGAAGTGAGGTGTCGACGAATAGTCAACACATCGAGTTACGTGTACTGCATATACGAGTATGCAATCGGCTTGCGTACTCAGTTCTTTTGGAACTGTATTTGATATTTACTCCGCAGACGACGCCGGGAAGGCATTTGATTTCCTGAATACATTCGACGAAGGAGGCAACCCGACCCAATAAAACCCAGGGTATTTCTGAGCAGGGTAATGGAGACAAGAAAGTAAACGCGGTCATGCCCACTCCATGATACCCTGCCGCCCTGACTCAAAAGGAAAAATCGTAATCCTTGATCGTGCAGTTTGCGCAGAAGGAAGCGTGGAGGGAATATCGGCCTTCTATTACTTGACTGTAATTATTTCAGTGTCCTCTTGCTTCCGCATGACTAGATCAGGATGGGTATCTCTCTTATCTCGACATAAAGTTTATGTTGAGCTCAAATAAGAAGATCTTTACAGAAAACCCCAAGCAACCATTTGTTTGCGTTGAAAGAACATGGATTCAATGTTTATTCAACATCTGCACGTTGAAGCAACGTTGAATCAATGTTGATTCACCGAGGGTGGGCTGCTTGGGATAGTTCAATTCGGCCTGGGGCGACATGAATTCTCATGTTTTGTATTTTGCATTATACTACCCTCACTTTCCGTTGAAGCGAGCAGAGAATCTGTCGCACTCAAAACGGATCTCACGAATTGACCCACTACATGACCCCTCTCACGACGTGGCTCTTCTACCCTGCCACTAATTGTCAAACTATTGAATAATAAGCGTGTCATTAGTAATAGTAATGAAAATAGGAAATCCCTTACATCACTCCATGCAACAGCGGCACTTAAGAAGATATGGGTGTTTCAATCCGGAAGTCAATCCGGAAAATGTATGTATATTCTCAAGGAACACTTTTTAGATATAGGAATTCCTGGATCCATTCGGCGAAAGAGGCAACCCAACAAAAGAGACCCAGGGTAATTCTGATCCCGGAAATGGAGCTAAGGGAGTTCATCCGATGATCTGACTCCATAAGATCCACCCCCTCCTTGCTGCTAGAGAGACATTCCAAACTTGATCCTGAGGGTCCCATGTGTGAATCCCTAGCCCATTCTCAGCTAAATTTTCATCGGCTGCCATCACTATATTGTCCTCTTTTTGCTTCCACGGTACTGACACCTTTCTCTACTCTAAACGTAGAATCAATCTCGAGAATAGTGACTGGCATCTTATACATCGACATCGGTGATGGATTGGAACTGAGATCACACTGATGTCACATTCACTGCGAATTTAAACAAGAAACTGGAGCTTGGCATGACTTCAACACCAGAGCAATGTTGGGGTCTGTTTCATTTCAACATTGAGTCAACCCAGCATTGAATCAATCATTACTTTATAACCCTCCCCAAACTAGGGATGTGCTTTTTTCACTTTCCTGATGCATGGTTGATGATTGATGCATGGTTGTCCAAGCGATAGATGAGATTATAATACGAAGGATATTTGGTAACATTTGGACATCACTAGACATGAGTGAAAAGTTCGGTATGACATTCCGGGGAGTATTGAGAGGGCCATCATCGTGCGTCCTCAATTTTCGGCAGGATCCAATTGAGAAACCTTGAGGGGAAGAATGGAGAAAACTCATGTGAGCTTAATTCCGTAATGAAAGCTGGGAAGAAATGGCCTCTACGAATGTGGAGAAAATGGAGAGAGGTAGAATTCGATCGCACCGATTGACTCTGGTGAAAATGCCGTATTGACCTGGGCGCATCTCTGAGCAAGTGTCATCGCTGAAAGAGTGGCTCACTATTCCTTCTATCTGCCATTGCTTCAATACATCGGTATAGAAGACCATTGGACTGCCTGAATCTCCGGAACACACCGTTTGATAATCTATTCGTCAGATCCCATCAATTTCATCAATATGGAGTTTGTGGAAAAAAAAAACAGGAAATATAGAAGCGTTGTAGGAACATTCCCCTAGAGTCAATACAATTTCATCGACGTTGAAGGTCAATGCCCAACGTTGTGTGAATATAATAGCTGCGTCTGGCACTAAGATACCTTCTTAAATGGTATTTCAAAATAATATTTATGGTAGTATCATTAAGCGTGCATCGTCAAATAGGGAATACCCAATTTTTTTTTTAAGAGACGAACAAAAACTTATCCAGTGTTACCACCCCAGTAACACCAGATATTAGCTCAATGCTGGACTAGTATTGGGCACGAAATCTACCCAGAAAATAAACGAACATTCAGTGTTGTGTGAACTTTAATTTTGAACCTTCCCACTGCTGGGGTGGCGTTCCATCTAACATTAAGCCGATATTTCATTGTCGCTTATCGGAATACTCAGATGAACGTTGAAATTCAACACTGGCTGAACGTTGGGCCAACATTGTAATGTCACTTATTGAGATGCTTGCACCCACCCTAGAAGCACCCCAATATT